CCTTTGCATTTTAATCTCAACCGTCCATCAAGATTAAATCTGAGCCATCCATCGCGATGCAATATGGGCCGTCCGTATGTGTGAATCTGGACCGTCCGTGCGCACGTTTGATCTGGGTCGTCCGTGCGCGGGAACGGATCTGGGTCATCCGATCGCGCGCATGCGGATCGCCCACCTGGCCCGTCCCGTGTCAGCATTTCCTTGCCACGCGGCGTGTCCTGGTTGGCTGGGGCTGCTGACCGGGCCACTGACGTGGGTGCTGACGTGGCACAACTTTTCTAAATTGCGTTTTGACCCACAGTTTTAGATTTTCTTTTCAAAAATACCCCCAGAATCCAAAATTTTACCTATTTTTCTCAAAATCAATTTCAATTAAATCCAAATAATATTTTTATCCAATTTTATCATTATAATTATTTTTATTTTCATTAAATTAAATTAAATTAAATAAAAATCTAAAAAATTCAAACAAATAAAAATAAAAATAATAAGATAAAATAAGAAAAAAAAACACTTGGGTGTTACACTATTCCACTATATATATATATATATATATATATATCCTTAAGACACTAAATAGATTGGAGGAAAATGATATTGTTTCGGCTAAAAATGTGTTTATTTAATGGTACCAAACAAGGTGGAGAGAAACGATACCGTTTTAACTAAGATGTATTTATTTACGGGGCACCAAACAAGCTGGAGGGAAGAGATATTGTTTTAGGTAAAACGTGTTCATTTAACGGGCACCAAATAGGTTAGAGGAAAACACAGTTTTAGCTAAAAATCTCAAACGAGGTTGTGTTAGTATTTCTAAAGTTAAAAATTAATTATTAGTTATACTTTTCATGCTTAATGAATTAACTTATTTATATCTTTAATTTCGTAATTATAAATTTTATATCAGTTAATAAAAAATAATTTTATAAGAATTTTTATTTTTATTTGTTAATATATAGAATTAATTTAAAATTAGAATATTGATTTAATGAGTTTTTTTTTTGTGTACTTATTTTGTTTTATATAACTAAACTTTAATCTACCTTACCTCAAAGATATTGATTTGCAATAATGATTTACTAAAAGAATTTGCAATAGTGGCAAAAAATATTCTGCTTTATTTTTTGAATTACTGATGATATTTATAAGTTTATTGCCACTGCATTTGAAAGATTCTTGAACACAACGATTGTTTTGGTTTTTGAAAATAAATTTTGTATCAAAGAACTCTTTATTTCGATTTTTAGTTTTAATGAATAGAAAAAGAGAAAAGATTTAAAATTGGAGATAAAAGGAGAAATATTTTAATTAATGAGTTAACTTAGATTGGCACATACGTGGCATTAAAATTTAGTCTAAATTTGACTTTCATTAACATTATATTATTTTAAAAAATAAAAAATAAAAAATACTTTTTCTATTTAAATATTTAATTATGTGAATTCAATGTGCATATATTATATAATATCTGATGATTGTATTTGTTTTAATTTTTATTTTATTTTATTTCGTTTTTTTATCTGTAATATTCGTATAAAATTTGCTATATAATATCTAAATACAAATAATTTGTTTAATTTTATTCCTACGTCTATTTCAATTTTTTTTTAAGATGGATTTAATTCATATATTAATTTTTATATATTAGATAATTATAATTTCATAATAAAATGAGAATATATTAAACAATATAAACAGTGGGGTGATGTTCAGAAAATATATTTACAAAAGGCGCTTCTCTCTCTCTTTATTCAAGCCCAAATAAAATGGAAGTTGCATGTCCATTGCCCGGCAGGTACGAATCAACCTCTCTTCTCTGCATCCAAATTTTCACCGCTTCTTTTCTTCTACTTAAAGCCCTGTTCTTCCTCTTCTTCTCCTCTTCATTTTACTCTTCCCATAATCAATTACATGATGTCTCCTCTACATCATTCAGCTCCATAGCCATTTCGATAGAAAGAAACTCCTCGCTCGCTTTCGCTTTCGCTTATACCCAGTGAAGAAAACAAAGTCGAACTCCATCCGAGGATCCTCCCGCTTCCAACCCATTAGACTCGTCAGTTCCCATCTATTACCCTATCAAAACCCTCGAAGAGCTCGCCTCGCTCTCTTATTTCGATTCATTTCACTACCCGTTTAACAAGTCGTCCGTATGATACCAGGTAAATCATCTTTTCCCTCAATGGAACTGATCTGGTGCACATCTAGGCTACAAATCCCGGGTTACTGGAGTGGATCTCAGCCAAACTACTGTTTGCTTGTATTAGAATAATATAGATGTCCAGTATGTGATTAAAGAAAACCATAAAAACTTTTAGATGCAAAGTCTACAACATCAAATAATTGTTTAATCGACATAGACATAATTATCTTCTAGAGTTATAAAAACTGCAAAAACTCCAAGTGCCCTCCTGCCATTTGACAAACCAGTATTTGCTGCTTTATTAGACTACATGGAAAATGAAACAAAATATATGAAAGGTTGAAAGCTTGAAGATTGTTAAACAATTGTTTCTTGAAAGATTTTATAAACAAATTTCAATTGTATGAAGTTGTATAAAAAGAAAGGCAATGCTCAGTAAATAATCACAAATAAGTGCATACTTATTTTGAGTTGTCTGAAAATCAGGGGGTTGGTTGTTCTCATAGATCAATCCCGGAGCAAATATAGCAGTTGATACGTTATCCTTATTCAACACATCAAGTTCAACATGTTTCTAATGAATTTCCCTATAATCTATGGATTTACTAGATTAAGAATGAACTTTATAACATAAAGGGAAAAAAAGAACATACAAAACTTAAACAGATTAATAAACATGATAATTTACTTGATGTAATCAAAGTAAGCTCATATGATAACAACCATGCATTTCTTAACTCCTCTTGAACATCCGTAATTTATCAAAAAAGAAAAAGTTCATGTTCTATGAAACTGCATCTCATGATTGGACTTAGTAAAACCAATAGATCTTAAGTA